AGCATTGCATGCCACGTTCTTTAAGCAATGCTCCACACACTCCCCAGATGCATCGTAACCGGCGTCAGCGACCTTCACCGACATCCTCCCGACGGTCCTGCTCGCGATCAGCCTCTAGGGCCAGTCTTTCACTGTTCGAGGCCCTTCTCGTCATCCACAACCACGAAGCCATGGCCATGGGAACTGCAGCCTCGCCCTCTCCTTGGCGACCCACCGCCCGAGTCTTCGGAGCCGCGGACTCCTCCTTTGTGACCACCACCCGACCGAGCCTCCACAGCAATACATGGCCGAAGAATCACTGACCCTCTCTTCCATCGGCCGCGTGCCCGAAGTCTCTCGCCGCGCCCGGGAGAGTATTTCGGCAGCGAAAAGTCGCGTGGTACACGTCGCTGTTCCAGGCTGTGGTCAGGCAGCAAAGTCACGGTCTTTGCAGACTTGTTTTCCATACCCCTTTTTTTTCGTTGGTGGGCAAGCCATTTCACAAGTATTGATTTACGGCTCCAACGTCCGTATTACAGTGAATTTTAGCAGTACCTGCTTGGGCGCAGTGAACGTAACACGATCTTGGTAATACAGATTTATTACCTGTAAGACACATAACCTTTCTTTGTTGCGCTGCTGTTCGTCGGTGATACGAGTGACATGCTTGACTTGCAAATTTTAATGCGCTGAAACAATTATTACAAAAACCGTCTGCACCAAGTGAATGTATTTGCGGAGTACCATTATTCACCAAATGAAAAGAAACTATTCGAAAAATTTTATTCGTGTATTTGTATTCCTGTATCTGTATTCCGGAACACATTTCTCGTGCTTTCCAAAACATTCTGATATGTCAAACAGAAATTCAACTCAGTATCTGTATTTTAGGCTTCCAATTCCCATTCCTTTCAATATCTGTATTCTGGAATACTTGTCTCTTGTATCTCTGCACAGTAATCTATCCATCAAGACGTTACGCATTAGCTTTGCCAGCACGTCTTCAGCGCCCAAATCGCTCAGGCCTAACCAACTATATTTCGACAACCACGCATGACCACGCTAATTAATTTAAACGATGCCATCGCACACCGAGCCTGCACCTTACCCTCGACCTGTTTTCCAGCCAACCCCCGCTTTGCCACCAGCTATGAACTCTGCGCCACTTTTCTACACTGATCTTTTGCCTTCGTTTCGCTGCCCATCTTCTTCAAGGCCTGTGGTGTCACTAGTCTCGTTACACGTCACTTATGCTGATCTTCATAGATACAGTTTAATGCTTACTGTACCTTAGTACTGTACATTAGCTTGTGGAATGTCTTGGATGAACCCACGTTGAAGCTTAGTCATGCATCTCTATCTGATTACTAACGCCTATCATTAATGATTAAACAAACACTTGTGTTCAAGGATGCTTGTGGCAGTTGTAGTAATTAACAGTGAGAGCGGAACCAGAGAAAGCGATGTGACAGCCACAAGAGCGTGACTGACTGGCCGCCTAACTTGAGCTAAGGCCGCCTACTTACGGTGTGAAGGAGTTATTGAACGCCATTGCCCTATTAGAGAGAAACGCAACGTGCGTCGCGTCTTCCACTAGGCCGGCCACGATTTAACGCAAAGTGAGGGAAAGCGAGAATGTGTAGCTAACCCAGGTGAAGCCAGCACAAGTCGCAGGGTAATTTTGGTACGGAGGAACGCAATGAGAGACACAGACGCTTGGGGTACGGTCGCCAACCGAGAGGGAGCTAAGGCGTTACAAAATTCCGCTTCGCAAGTTTGGTAGACTGTCACGCCGCCTCGCGGCCGCCAGAGTAATGTTAACGACGCTAGTCTTTCTTGGGGACTTTCGACGCAAAAATTTTGGTCTGTCTGTCTGTCTCTCTGTCTGCCTGTCTGTCTGTCCGTCTGTCTGTCCGTCCGTCTGTACATTTGTATGTTTGTCCGCTCTTACCGGCATCGGGTACTTGAAACGGACCGACCCCATCAGCAGCGACCCCCAATGTTGCTCAAGATTGAGCGTTCATGCTTGTGGAACTGTTAATGAAAAACTCCCAAGCATTTCCCCGAGGGTGAACATGGTTAAGTGCGAATGCACGGGGTGATGCTATGAGGGGTATTTATTAATTCGCACTATTATATTTATTAATCACACTATGGTGCCTTTATGGTGTAATGGTTCCTGGGAATCGCAATTTGATCACACGGGGGAGTTTACGTTAACTCACTGGCGAATGCCAACGAATTTTAACTTTACTCCCCCTCACGACCCGCTCTCGACGGGAGACTGAGAGAGAAGGCGGGCGCGCGAGAGAGAGGGGTGCGCGCGCAGCTGCAGCGAGCGAAGGGGGAGGGGGTCTAAGGCGCGTTACTGACACCGATATCAGCGTCGCGTCCGTGGCTTATTCGGTAGAGCGTCGCGCTGCGGCCCGCCAAGTCCTCTTTCTTTTAAAGATAGAGAGAAGACTGCGGACGCCGCCGACGGCGGTGGATGATTTGGGGTCGCTTATAAAGTGTATTCACACTTAAAAGCGATTATTGTGCATGTCTGAGGCACCATAACAACACGCATATATTCTGCATATGCATCTTTTACTATAAAACGCACACATAAGTAATTTTAAGGACCGTAGCGCTTATCACGCTGCGCTTACTATGCAACGCTTGCACGGAACGGGGAGTGTTTCCAACACTTTGCTAAGACGACATGGTGGTGGCATCTACCCGGCGCCTAGCGTTCTACACCTTGTCATCTCTGAAACGGGCGCGCACGGCCACGCGCTTTGTTTTCCAAGAAAACTGCCAGATGGCGCTCATGTCTCACGTGTGACGTGACTTGATGCACTCGTGTGCCTCCGCTGCACGCTCGAGGCACTCTAACGCAGCACCTCCGGAAAACCATTCACCGATTTTCTTGCGCAGAACATCAAATAAATGTTTTCTTTACTCTCTCCACACGCAAGACTGTCGTCTTTCGACGACATTTGAAGATTACATGCAGATACGGGGCCACTTTTTTTTTTCAAAGAGTATTGAAGCAGCGGTGGGGAAGCGGCGTTCATAGCACGTGCATGTACGTCTTGGCTGGCGTTAGGCTTTCACTAGAACGATTCTGTTGTAGTTACCGTGCGCACAAAGGTCACTACAGTGGTTGCACAGTCTCTGTTTGCGAAAAGGGTGCGTTTTTCAGACATAGCGAAGTAACAACAGACATTTATCGTGTTCATCTTTACATGTGAGTACGTTCCGTGCCTCATTTCTGCGTGAGAAACGTGGGACACGTTTTGATCTGCTTGCTATTCTTCGCGTGACCTTCCGATTTGTTGCTGCTGCGTTCATTGCTTTGCCTTTGTAGCAAATCTGTGGCGTTTCTCAAAAATGCGTCAAAAATATCAGTTACAGACCTTCACGCCACAGCAAGTGATGTCTTTGGAATCGAGGACCACTTCGAGGCATCGTATCCGTGTTTCTGAAGCGTCTAAGTGGCGCATAATATGTGACTGCAAAAAAAATAGAGCCATCACAACACACACACACACACACACACACACACACACACACACACACACACTCCGGGCAGGTGATATATTAGCTCATTGACTTCGACCCCAACCGATACTGTCTGTGGGCGCCATATTGAACCACCCTGTGCGCCTCCTATAGGCGATGAAACTTGTGAATTCGAAACGCAGTGAATGGGATGGTTGCTTAGAAATGACGCGAAATGTTAATGAAATAATTGTTAAAAGAACGAAGGAGGTTTGAAAATTTTTTGAAGAAACTTGTAAATTCATTTGCAAAACGTCTGATTAGATAGTTCCAAACTTTTTATCAGTTATTTAACGGTGTTTTTCTGCTAATTACAAAAGAATACCACGTGGCAAATTCACTGGGGCCCTAATTCTGGCTCCCCATAAGGTTTCGCGGGCGAACGATACGCTTCCCTCGCACTAGTTAACGACAGCGATAAGCAGTCACAATGATTATCGTAAACGTGTCTCTCGTGAAGCCACCACTCGTCGCGGTTCTGTCGAGACGGCGCCATTGGGAAAGTGCTTTGGTCATTGGTACGGGGGACTTTACGCAGAACTGGAATCATCGTGCGCATGGCAGCGCCAGCGGGCTCGTCACGTGATATTGGTTTTGTATTTCACTGGCATTCGTAACGAGCGAAGTTATAGCTAGCACTAAAACGCTAAAATTATTATATTTAGAAGTGAAATTTTTCTAAGCATACGTTTTGAAGACCAGTGAACAGCTGTCTTATTGTATTTTCAAGCCTAGTTCAATTGCTTGAAAAGAAGGTTGATAAAACTGGCATAACTAAGCAAATAATCAGGGTAGAAAAAAATAGTCCGACTCCCTCTAGGCAACAATCAGAAGGATGCATTTAATGGTGTCGCCATTGCGTGGATCGGCTGTGTTTAAACTCTAGCTCAAGATAGCTGTGGCACCCCGCATATTATCATGCGTCCAAAATGCAGTATACCAGCGCACTTTGAATAGTATCTACCGTAATAAGAACGCAAGGGTAGTTTTTTTAGGAAGATACGGTACGGCTGATATTTCGTCATTCACCCCAAAAGCTGCAGCTCAGGTCTTTTGTACTACCGCCGACCTTCGTGTCTCGCTTGACAACATCACGATAGGTCTTGCATCAACAATAGAGCCCATTTACTTTTTTTCACGTTTCGGATAAGTCGAACATAATAAAAAGATGCATGTACCCCATTTTAAACTCGTTGAATCAGTACAATCTCTGATTACAAGTACACACCGATGTTTTTTATTTCACTCTATTTATTTTCTCATCTCGTGCTATTGCACAAGTGTTCCCGCTTCCGCTGAATCCCCTGACAGGGCTTTCTTGACTAGTACGCGCTTTTGTGCTGCTTTCCTAGAGTTTTCGCAGATGTTTGCCCACATCCGTTTGTCGCTTATAAACTTCATCGAAAAATAAATGACAAAATTACGAAAACTATCAAAAGACAGTACCTATAGAAGGGCCAGTAAGGTATATATATGCAGACGCTGCTTAGGAAGTCCTCTTGCAGCACGCTTAAATTCGAGTGGAGATCAACATGGCCAAATTAAGCACATGCCTCTTGGTCATAATTGCAATGAGGCTATTTTTGATCGAAGTTTCTCAGCAAGCATTGGAGTACAGGTTTCTTCCTTTCGAAAACGGTATGTTCTCGGTGCCATTTCACATGTTTGTGGTCTGCTTTGACGTGATTTTACAATACAAATGGATCTCTATAACCTATGGTGATTGAAGATGTTATCGTAAAAAAACATGAAACATATTTAACGAATTTATTTATTTATTTATTTCAATACCCTAAAGGCCCAATTGGGCATTACATAGGGGGGGGGGGGGGATTTAAGTGAATACATACATTTCAAGCAACATGAACGGAAACTGAATACCAAAAAGTAACAATAAAAAGGAAACAGCGAGTAAATCAAATCACAGCATCAAGTCAAGTACGTTCACCAACATTAATCGAGTACATATTCATTAGTACAATAATAATGAAAACACTTAGGAAAATTAAACCGAAGAACACTGAATAAGTATCGGGAGCAAAAACAGCAGACGAAACGGGGGCAATCGGACACAGGTCAGCCATGTTTTTCACTATGCAAATAGCCCTGAAGCATGGAGTTAAATATGGAAGGATCTGTTATTTCGGCGATGTTAGGTGGAAGAGAATTCCACTCAATTATGCATAATGATAGTGGCGAATGGTTTGGCAAACAACGTGGTTTTTTTTTAGACTAAGTGTATCAAGTTTGTCGATTTAGAAAGAGAGAGACCATTCCTTTCTTCAATTTATCACTTAAATGAGACCAGTTAAAGTGAATACACATTAGTGGTATCAAACACGCGGTCAGTTATCATTTAGCGATCTCCACAGCCCACATACGGCTCATTTGTCATATTGTTACACAAGATAAGGTAACTAAATGGGGGGTGGGGGTTAATGGGCCCTGAGTCCGCGATCACAGTATAATGATGATGATGATCACCGCCATGGCTCGTACCCACTCAGAAAAATCGCGGTGGAGGCGACGTCGTCTTCCTTTTCCATCTGCGCTTCCCTTGTTTTTTCTGGTGGTCATACTTCGTATCATTCCTCCCGCCTCAGACGAAGCCCTCCGGGTGAGTCATTCTTGCATCTTTCGAGTAAACGGCTTCAGGCGGGCAACATGCGTCACCTCTGTCTTGCATGAACGTCGGCCACTAGTGGTGACACGTGAAATTTCATAGCTGACCTCGCTGAGACGACGGAGTATCACGAACTGACCGGCGTAGTGTGCCAGTAGCTTTTGGCTCAAGCCACGTCTGCGTATTGGCGTCCACACCCAAACTAGATCATTGGGGGCATAGGTTACATGCCTTTGTTGACTGTCGTAGCGAGTTTTGGAGGACTCTTGCGCTGCCAGTGTGCGTAAGCAGGCAAGTCGACGTGTCTCTTCCGCACGACACAAAGTGTCCGCAATTGTTAAATCGTCATGGACGGCAAAAGGAAAAATAGTGTCCAGCGTATGTCGAGGTGAGCGAGCGTAGAGCCAATAGAAAGGGCTGTAGCCTGTCGTTTCGTGTTTCGACATGTTGAAGGCGTACGTGACGAATGGTAATACTTCATCCCAGTTTTTGTGGTCGGAGGTGACGTACTTTGACAACATGTTGGTCAACGTTCGCTTTGTGCGCTCAGTGAGGCCGTTAGTTTGTGGATGATACGCAGTTAAGTGTCGGAACTTGGAGGCATACAAACGAAGTAATGATTCGACAATATAAGCGGTAAATTGTCGTCCACGGTCACTTATTATCACGCGAGGAGGTCCGTGTCGGAGGATGACTGAATGCAACAGGAACTCCGAAACCTGGAATGCCATGGCGGAGCATAAGGCAGCCGTCTCGCAGCACCGCATCAGGTAGTCGGCGCATACAATTATCCACCGGTTACCTTTTGAGGAGCGTGGAAATGGTCTCACCAGATCAATACCGACCTTTAGGGAGGCTTTACAGGTTGCAGGTGACCAACTGGACCCGAGGAGGGCCGCTTGTGTCTGCTGGCCACGTAGTTCTGAATCGTTTTTCTCATTTTCGGCCAATAAAACCGCTCTTTCGTGCGACTAAGTGTTCGTACGGTGCCTAGATGGCCAGAGGTGGGGTCATCATGCGCGAGACGCAGAACAGACGTTTGGAGGGACGCAGGAACAACCAGCAGAAAGCGGGCGCCCGCCGTGGACAACTTTCTCTGGTAAAGAAGACAATTTCGGACGCAGAATCGGCCTTCGCTTAATGAATTTCTCGCTCCAGGGAAGAGAGCTTGTAAGCTTGGGTCATTACACTGCTCAGTGGCGAAGGTCACGGCATCGGGAAAGCCAGACGACAGAGAAGCGATAAGGTGGTCAAAGTTATCGCCTTCACAATCTGTCGATGGTAGCGGCATTCTGGAGAGGCAATCTGCATCAGCGTGTAGACCGCCAGTCTTGTATGAGATGGTGAAGACATGTTCTTGCAAACGAATAGCCCATCATGCGAGGCGGCCGGATGGGTCACGAAGGTTGACCAGCCAACACAGGGAATGGTGATCTGTGACGATAGTGAACGGGCGACCATAGATGTATGAGCGAAACCGTTGCACGGCAAAGACTACCGCTAGGCATTCTTGTTCGGTCACAGTGTAGTTGCGTTCAGGCTTGCTTAAAAAACGACTTGCATAAGCCACAACGTGTTCCTTCTTGCCAGAACGCTGAACGAGAACGGCACCGATACCGATGCCACTTGCGCCTGTGTGAATTTCCGTGGCCGACGAAGGATTGAAGTGCCGAAGTATTGGCTGTGAAGTTAACAAACACTTCAGCTTGTGAAAAGCGGCATCACACTCGGAGGTCCACTGAAACAGGCTGTTCTTGCATAGAAGGCTCGTCAGGGGGTGAACGACATCCGCAAACTTGGGTATGAAGTGGCGGAAATACGAGCAGAGCCCGATGAAGCTACGCAGTTGTTTCACAGATTTAGGATGCTCGAACGATTCAATGGCCGCTGTCTTTTATGGGTCAGGTCTAATGCCATCTTTGTCGACGAGATGTCCTAACACCAATGTCTGTCGCTCGGCAAAGTGGCACTTTTTTGAATTCAATACAAGGCCAGCTTTTTCAATGCAGCTGAGCACGAGGTCTAGGCGAGTGTTGTGCTCCTCAAACGTACGTCCAAAAATTACGACATCATCAAGGTAACACATGCATATATGCCCTTTTAAACCACGCAATATAGAGTCCATCAATCTTTAGAATGTCGCAGGAGCATTACATAATCCGAATGGCATAACATTGAACTCGTAAAGTCTGTCGGTCGTAACAAATGCCGTCTTTTCTTTGTCAGCTGCGTGCATCGGAATTTGCCAGTAACCTGATCTCAGGTCGACAGATGAAAAGTAGGACGTGGAATGCAGGCAGTCTAGAGCATCATCGATGCGCGGCAGTGGATAGACGTCTTTCTTGTAACAGAATTCAGTCGGTGGTAGTCAACGCAAAATCTCCACGTACCATCCTTCTTCCTCACTAGAATGACGGGAGCAGCTCACGGACTTGCCCATTTCTGTATTATTCCCTTTTCCAGCATTTCTTGGACTTGCTCGTTGATGATCTTGCGCTCCGATGGTGCCACTTGGTAAGGTTTCTGCCTAATGGGTATAGCCGACTCGGTGTGAATCTGATAACGTATCCGGGACGCTGGGATTAAGGGCCTTTGGCTATGTTTAGAAAAATCGAACACTTTCGAGTGCTTAGATAGAACGTCGAGCAGAGTATGACGTTCGCTTTGGTCAAGTGACTTGCTGACCATTTGTAGCGACTGGGCATCTTCTGAAGCTTCTAAGCCTAGATGTCTATTTTGGCTTGTAGCATCAACAAGCGCAACCAGCGTCGTACATGATTCGGTCTAAATATTGCAAGTTTCATGCCACCAGGCAGAATTGCAGGCTCCATGGAACTGTTCATTGTCCACACACCTGTCCGTCCATCAACGACTGACATTATACATTGGGGCATGAGAAGGTTCTTTTTCAGGCATGCCAAGGGAATCGGTTCGAGCGTGGCGTCAAACGTGCCACATTTGTTGCTGGAACATGTCACGGGAACACACACGGCAGAAAATGCGTGAACGACTGTGTGCACGGAGACGAAAAAGATGCATTCCTCCGGAAAGGAATTTTCCAAGAGCGCCGTTGGGAAAGTACCGTGTATAGAAAGATGCCCACTTCTGCAGTCTACAGTTGCCCCACACTCACACAAGAAGTCAATACCCAAAATAACGTCATGTGTAGACCGCGGAACAACCGCAAACTCTGTGCAAAACACCTTGCCACACAGTGAGGCGTCCACAGTACAATATCTCACCGGACACAACATGTCACCACTTACACCACGAAATGTCACCCCACGGTTCAGAAAAAACATCACTTTTGGCCCTAGCAGGTTTTGAAAATTTACACTTATCACCGAGACGGTCGCACCTGTATCCACAAGTGCCATAGTAGCCACTCCATCGACAACTACATGAACTTTGTTCTTCAACGTAAACGCTGATGGGGGTATATCTGTAGAAAGCACCTGTGATCTCGCGGCTTCACCCCCACTGGCCGCACCGACTAGTTTTCCGGCGGTGGTGTACGTGCCCGTCTCCGTGGCGACGGCGATCGTGGAGCACTGGGAGCTGGGGGTGGCGTCAAACTTCGATCAAAGGCCGGCGAGGGGTAGCGTGACCCGGTAGCTGCGCGTGGTTTCCGTGACGTGGAGAGCGGATAGTCGAAAGGTTGGTGAGGCATGTGTCAAGACTCTCGCTGGTATGGGCGATGGTCACAAAAACGTGCAATGTGACCCGGGACGCCACAGTTGTCGCATACCGGAATTGGTCGAGGGTCACGTGGCTGCTCAGAGTGACGACTCCTCTCGGAAGGCATGGGATAGTGGTGCCGCCCTTCGGGGGCACTGTAGGCAGGCGATGTTGGGTAAACAGGCAGGTGAAAACTTCGTTCGTAGTTGGGAGGTGGTTGACGGGGGAATCCAGCCTGCCGTGTGCCTTGATATGCATAAGCGTCTGCTGCGTTGATCGAAGGTTGCCATGGTGGAAGAGAAACAGGAGTCCGCATACGTTCTGGTTCGCTTACGTA